GAACTTAACCAGAGTTCACAGGAAACGTTTCTCAGTTCCAAGACGTAATTTCTAGGCAGAAGAAGACCTAGGCCTGTGCCGTGGCTTGGCTCTTGGCTGCCTGGGCTCAGTTCCAGGGTTTACGCCGTGACCATATGAGTTTTGGGGTGGGGGTTGCACCCCTGCTTTTGCTTTGACTGGTTTCCATTTCCCCTGTGATTGAGAATGGGAAGGGAATTAAAATGCTTAGTACAACGTGCTTAGAGCGGTGTTATTTTTTGCTTGTCTCTATTTTGTCTTACTGGAACTCAGCAGGAACCTCACCTGAGCCCTGAGGATACATGTGTTTGGACTGGAGCCAGTTTAAAAGGGTTTCTCATTAGCAGTAGATGTGGCAACAGGATTTGCTACAGTGTTTTGGAGTGGGCCACTCTTCTGTAATATCTAGCTTATTAATTGCAACATTGTGCTTATCACAGTGGTTTCTTAAAAGCACAAGTAGGGATTTAAGCTGCCTAGGTAAATAAGAAAAATACCATTCATTTTTCCTAATGTCTCAGAAACTGGTTTGTGTATTTGAAAAGGTAAAAGAAGCTTGGCAAAGATCTTCAACTTAACTTGGATATTCATGGTCTTATTTAACCCTGTGTTTTGGAAAACTTGCACTGAAGTCCACAGAAGTTTGCCTGGGTTTGGAGAATTAAGGAATCTGAATGAGACTCATAGAACAACTTTGCTCTGTACAGAGAAGTCATCAGATGACTGACTGTCTTCAAGTACGGCACTTGTACATGTTGAGAGCATTTTAATCAGATTCATGGTATCATAGTGCTTAGGGTTGGAAGGGACCTAAACAGATCATCAGGTCTGACCCCCTGCCCCAGGCAGGAACAGGTGCCAGGATCATATCACCTCAGCCAAATATCTGTCCAGCCTCCTCTTGAAGACCCCCAAGGTAGGAGAGAGGACCACCTCCCTTGGGAGCCCATTCCAGATCCTGGCAGCTCTGACTGTAAAGTAACATCTCCTGATGTCCAGCCTGAACCTTCTCTCTAACAATTTGTGGCCGTTATTCCTAATAACCCTGGGTGGTGCCTGGGGGAACAGAGCCTCCCCCAGTTCCTGTTGGTTCCCCCTGGTGAGTTTGTAATTGGCCACCAGATCCCCTCTCAGCCTTCTCTTGTGGAGGCTGAATAGACGCTCAGGCCCTTTAGCCTCTCTTTGTAGGGCCTGCCCCGTTGCCCCTTGATCATGCGGGTGGCCCTCCTCTGGACCCTCTCAATGCTAGCCACGTCCCTCTTGAAGAGCAGTGCCCAGAACTGGATGCAGTACTCCAGCTGCGGCCTGACCAGTGCTGCTTAGAGGGGGAGGATCACCTCCCTGGACCTGCTTGAGATGCATCTGTGGATGCATGACAAGGTGCAGTTAGCCTTCCTGACCGCTTCCTCGCATTGGTGGCTCATGTTCATCCTGGAGTCAACAATGACTCCAAGATCCCCTTCTGGTGCCGTGTTGACAACATGGGTGTTTCCCAGCCTATAGGTGTGTTGGTGGTTCCTTCTCCCTTGTACTTGTCTGCGTTGAACTCCATCCTATTCTTATCCTCCCACCTCTGTAACCTGTCTAGATCTAGCTGGATTCTGTCCCTCCCTTCCAGCGTGCCCAACTTGCCCCACAACTTGGTGTCGTCAGCAAATATGGACAGTGTGCTTTCCACACCCACATCCAGATTGCTGGTAAAATGTTGAACAGCACAGGCCCCAGGACCGAGCCCTGGGGGACTCCACTGCCCACATCCCTCCAGGTCAAAAATGACCCGTCGACCACCACTCTCTGGGTACGACCATCTAGCCAATTTGCCACCCATCTGACTGTAGGCATCAGTGCCGTGATCACCAAGTTTTTTTTAAGAGAATGTGGTGGGAAACCATGTCAAAGGCCGCCTTAAAGTCCAGGAAGACAGCATCCACCCTGGATCACCCTAGATGCATGTTTTTACAGCAAATACCGTAACTTTGTAGGCTAACATTTTTTGTCAAGCTCTAACTTGATTGCCTTAAAGGTAATCTTGAGAAACTTGTAGGCAATTTCATGTTGATGAATTGGTGAATTTACACAACTGGAGAAGTAAAGGGTTTGAAAAATAGCTTTAACTCTTTCTGCATAACCTGTTTGAGGCTGTGCATCTATTAATCCTGACTTTCCTTTTGATGAGAGGCTTGTCATTTCAGTTGGAATTCCCCTGAAACTTTCTCTTCATAAATTAGCCTGGGTTGAAAAATCTGTTTTGCTGCAATAGGATCACAGGAAATTTGGGCTGGAAGGGACCTCACACAGTCATGTAGTCCAGCTTCCTGCTCAAGGCAGGAAGATCCCAACCTAAATCATCTGAGCCAAGTGTCTGTCCAACCTGCTCTTGAAAATTTCCAAAGATGGAGATCCCACAATTTCTCTAGGCCACCTGTTCCAAATGCTTGACCAGTGCATAATTATTACATACAATAATTAATAGCTTTTCAAGATGAGCAGCTTGCTTGATAGGATAGTAGTGGTAGTTTATGTACAGTGTTCACCAAAACACCACAATAAACAAATAAAATTATCTAAATAAATAACAGCATTTATATAAATCATAATTTTTACTAAAAGGCTTGATAGGGTAATTGGGCTGCTATTAGTTTGGGGCAGGCATTACTGGTATCTGTTTTAGCTCTAAAAGAGTTAAAACATTATGCATCATCATGCTCTAGGCAAGTGTTCAGGCCAGCTCTCTGTACACAGGCAAGTATCAACTCTAAATTATGATTGTTAATCATATCCTATCCTTGAGGGTTTAAGTTGGATGTGGAATTATGCATGTGCCTTATGCTGGCCCTTTGAACAAGGGCAATTTCATTCAGTCTGAATAAATGGAAATGTAATTGCATTCTATTAAAATGCTGTATTTCAAAGCCCGTGTGTACTGTTGAGCATTTCAAGTAAAAATAAAATCTGACAAGTGAAGCAATATCTTGAAGTAAGGTCCTGTAAACTGTATTCCATCTTGTAGTAATTAGAGTGTAACAGTATTAGTGAAACATTAATATTGCAGCATAGCAGCAGCTGGTGTGGTTTACTCTGGGCTCCCAAACTGCTTCTGTCACAACCGATTGTTATACAGTTTATTCAGCAAGAAGGCATCTTATGGGATTCTCTAAACTCACACTTGAGGTTTTGAAACACCCTGTCCCAGGTTTTTTAAAGTGAGATGCACATCTCATCTTTGCAAGTGTTTTCATGCAACTGGGCAGAATCCTGTTCTTTAAGCTTGTCCCCCATGACGGAGACTCTCAGCCTTTTGCAGATCCTGAGCTGAGGCTGAGTTGTCAGCTTGCTGCAGTGGTGGTTTCTGTGTGCACGAATGGCCTTTTGCTGCTGGGTTTGGCCTTGTGGCTGCTCACCCCGTCTCATCCCGCCACAGAACTTTCCTTTATCAGCTCACTGTAATAACATCAGTAATAATAATAGTACAGACCTTGCATGGTTTAGTAGTGACTTGGATACAAAGGTTTGCCACGCCAAAGCAATGCGTGGGCCTGACAAAGAGCGCAACAAAAAACAAATGCATGAACGTTTTTGCTAGTTCTTTAGTTTGGAGAAGAGAAGACTGGGGGGGACTTGATAGCAGCCTTCAGCTCCCTGCAGAGGGGCCGCAAAGAGGATGGAGCTGGACTGGTCTCAGTGGGAGCAGATGACAGAACAAGGAACAATGGGCTCCATTGCAGTAAGGGAAGTTGAGGTTGGATATAAGGAAAAACTTTCTCACTAGGAGGGTGCTGAAGCACCATAACAGGTAACCCAGAGAGGTGGTGGAGTCTCCACCCTTGGAGGTTTTTAAGACCTGGCTAGAGAAAGCCTGGCTGGGATGATGTAGTTGGGGCTTTGATTAGGGGCTTGGACTGGATGTGACCTCCTGAGGTCCCTTCTGACCTTCATTTTCTATGATTCTTTAGCCTCTCCTCCCAGCCCAGCCCCAGGAAAAAAGGAGTACATAAGTGTCAAATGGAAGAGGCATCAATTTGCCATTCCTATAGTGAGCATGTGGCTCAAGAAAACCATTGACAACTAGTACTAGCTTAGTAGTGTCAGCTGAAGGCTATGGACTGAATGGAGAAGGGAACCCTGTGTTTCCTGAATGGGGTCCCAAGAGTTCATGGCTGAGGTACATGTCCAGGTGATTATGGGGAAATTTATCTTGTGTTCTTTCAGTAGCTAAACATGACCCTTCAATCCCTACTGCTGTCAGTCCAGCTCTGTCCCCAAGCACTAAACTCACTTTACAAACCAAACCTTCATTTTAGAGCACCAGAATAATGTGCCATTGTAATGAATTATATTGGTATAATTGGTACGGAGCTGCGTTATAGATCTTAATCTAAAAAAAAGTGTTTGCCTAAATAAACACAAAAAAACCCTCAAAAAACCAAGATTAGGCTTTTGGAAGTTATTGCAAGTGGTAGGGAGGAAATGCATCTAAATTGTTGCGATTGTAAAAGCTTTTTCCTCCCAAAAAAGCCTTCAGTTGTTAATGTGTAGCACTATAAAGAACTGTTCTCATTGACATTTTTCAAAAGCTGCTTCATCCGAAAAGGCCGTAGAAGGAAATGGCCTTGTAATTCCCCATTTAACTTGAAATCTCAGAGTCCCCTCCATCCCTGCTCCTTACTTGGGTTTTAGAGCTAACATTTGTGCAGATGTTTTGTACCGCGCCGAGCTCAGTGGGATCTTGACCTGTGACGGTGATAATATGAATAACTATGAGAGTTTGCACAGCATGCGCTCTCTCTCATAGTGGAAGACTACCATCAAAACAGAAGCATTCCAGCAAGTTGTTGCAGAGAGCTGGTAGCCAACTGATCTTCTGATAGCAAAAGATAAAAGCCCTGTTGATGGCCACACGGAGAGCTACATTTGTAGGCTTGGGAAGCTTGTACAGTGAAATATGGATTTGCTTACTTTCGTCTGTCTTGTGCTATTTACAGTCTGCTGCGAGTTCTCTGAAAGGGAACAGAATGGCTGTCAAGGAGAAGCTGGAGGCAGTACTAAACGTGGCCCTGCGGGTCCCTAGCATCATGCTTTTGGACGTCTTGTACAGATGGGATGTCAGCTCCTTCTTCCAGCAGATCCAAAGAAGTAGCCTCAACAACAACCCTCTCTTCCAGTACAAGTACTTGGCCCTTAATATGCATTATGTGGGTAAGTGCACATACGAAAATGCAAACATGGTCCTGAAATGAAGCTTTCTGTCTGCCAGAGTTTTAGGAGGGCTGCACAACAACAAGGTCTTACCTTGTTTATTCAATACCAGCCTCACCTTCTTCCTGGAAATGAGCAATTGAAAATTGTGGTGTGCATCTTCAGTGAGGGCCCTGATCTGAACAGTTTGGTTCAAAGGGAAATGTTTTTTCTTCATTCTGCATGTCCAAAACAGGGTGCATGTCTCATTTGGGCATGTGGTATATGAATAAATACAGTAGTGTGGTTATGACACCAAAATGCTACTGTTTTTTTCCTTAATGGTCAAACCGTTCCATCCTGTAGTCTCCCAGTGCTTTTAGAAAGAAGTATATTATATAGTCTCAAAAGAATTTATGGGATCATGTGAACTGAGCGAAACTCTAGGGTTGAAACTGCTAACAAAGGGTTGAAAGAACAAAAGTATGAACTGGGGATGGGCTTATCTGTTTTTGACCTTTCCTTTCTCATGTCCTTGTGACAAGGAGATTAGACATCCTCAAGAACTACTTCACAGTCAGGGCGGCTAGGAGCTGGAACCAACTTCCTAGGGAAGTGGTGCTGGCTCCTACCCTGGGGATCTTTAAGAAGAGGCTTGATGACTACCTGGCTGGACTCATTTGAGTCTGGTCTTTTCTCCCGCCCAGGCGGGGGGTCGGACTTGAAGATCTACAAGGTCCCTTCGACCTGACTTCTATGATTCTATGAAGGTATTTAGCAGAATTTGCAGATTTGTTGGAATCTGACATGTGTAAGACATTCCTTGCTGTGGCAAGGCCTGAAGCCACTGGTGACAGCCATGTTCCCCCTGCTCTCTTCCTGGGGAGTGTTGTAGTTTGAAACCTTTTGTTTTCTTTATTAAATATCCTGGTTTGGTGCTAGGGGTTGGTGTGATGGGGGGAGGAGGCACTGAAATGTATGTGCTGATGGACCTCTTTGGATTTTAACATCTGTCATATAGTTGCCTATAATTGCAGCGGATTAGACTTGATGCCTCTGTGGTTCCTCTCAGCCCTACATTTTCCTATCTTGCAGGAGAACAGTAGAGAGGGGAGGGAGCCAAGTATTATAATTTACCTAGCTGCTGGGAGCTAAAAAAAAAGGCTAGAAGGAAGGAAATAAGTTGTTGCCTCTGGCCCGTGACCTGCAGCTTGACAAAAGGCAGCTTTCAAACTTTACTACTTGATTTGCAGTGCAGATATGGCACTTTAGCTTAAAACCTTAAGCTTTCAAAAGAATATGAGCCGTGTTGACAGTGGGTTGGTATGTGTGGTGCATCCACATATTTCACACAAGTGGACAACTTTCCTAGCTCAATCAACTGGAATTCAGGGAGCTGAGACTAAAAGACGTGGCCCAGAGCTCTAGCTCTGGTGGTAGAGGCCTGTTTTGGGGAGGTAAAAGGACCACACTCCTGGGGCCAGGTTCTCCAACGGGTGTGCGATTATTTTGCAGAGTGTATATTTATAGCAATTGTAGCTTACCGTGTGTGTGTGTGTGTGTGTGTGTGTGTGTGTGTG